TTCTGAAAAAAGGTCAAGTGGCGATGAAATATAGCCCTCGAACTATACCTCATTTTCCAGAAAAAAATGCGGGAAAAATGACGGTGCCCCTACTAAGGACGACTTTCGGGTAGTGGCCGATTACGCAGGTTCGAAAGCGTTTCAAGACCTGAAACTTGGCACACAAGCTGGTAGCATAATGTAGATTCCATTTTAAAAAAAAAATCGGTCCACACCCGGGGAAAAACTGCCTGTATTTNACTATACCTCATTTTCCAGAAAAAAATGCGGGAAAAATGACGGTGCCCCTACTAAGGACGACTTTCGGGTAGTGGCCGATTACGCAGGTTCGAAAGCGTTTCAAGACCTGAAACTTGGCACACAAGCTGGTAGCATAATGTAGATTCCATTTTAAAAAAAAAATCGGTCCACACCCGGGGAAAAACTGCCTGTATTTCCGGTTTTTCGGCTCCATTACCGGGGGCGGAAAATACCCCTTTTGGGGGATAACGCGCGTTATGTGCTATGAAACGCTTCAACCGTCGTATTCTGATGCACGAACGACTCGTGCGCATCCTATTCGAAGTCACAAAAAAAAATTACGACAAACGAGAGCCTACAGACGATGGTATGGCTGTGCAAACATGGGTACTGTTCCCCCTTTTTGGACTTGGACGGCAGCAAGATCCGCCTGAAATCTGCGAAGAGTTTAAGCAACCATTTTCCACCCATATGAACCCCCCACCACACGCCGTTTGACAGAAACGCGCTGAAGGTTGCAGAAAACACGTTGTAAACGAAAAAAAAAAACATGCCCAGCCCAGGGGACAAAAGTACAGCATCCTCGGGTTTCTCGACCAACTGTCCGCCCGCCCGCCCCCCGCCCCCCGCCCCCCCCCTGGTGCTGGTATGACACCCAAATTGTCTGACGCAGCCTCGTGAACTATATTTAACCCTCAACGGACGGTAAATGATTCCGCACTCTAATTTCAAGCCATTTTTTGCATACTTTATCCCGATACCGCGTGGTTGAGCACAGCTAACACCCCTCGAAAACACCAACACATCCACTACGGGTGTCGGCTTGTGGGCTCGTCCCGATCGAGATACGGAAGCCGCCGACTGCTGACCCCCGGTGATTCCTCCCCCCCCCGCCCCTCCCTCCCCTCTCCCACCGCGNCGCGTGGTTGTGCACAGCTAACACCCCTCGAAAACACCTACACATCCACTACGGGTGTCGGCTTGTGGGCTCGTCCCGATCGAGATACGGAAGCCGCCGACTGCTGACCCCCGGTGATTCCTACCCCTCCCGCCCCTCCCTCCCCTCTCCCACCGCGGCCAGAACCGCCGCCTCCACGCCCGTGCCCCCCAACTCCCTCGCCGCGGCCACCAACATTGCGCCCTGCCCCCCCCGCGTCCCGCCCCTGCCCACCTCGCCCCCCTCGTCGCCCTCGCCCTCCTTGAACGACACCAGCACCTCGCCCC